CTATTAACCCTTTAACCGGCAATCGTACATATTTGTACGAAGAGTGACCACTAAAGGTCAGGGCTCTCTTGTTTTCATGAAAATGGTCCCTGTGGCCCCAAATATGGAAGCTTTCCCAGAGGACCTTTCAGTCGTTGTTTTGAGCAAAATTCTTCTCGAATTTGGCTAGTTTTTCGATTGTAAAAAGCGATTTATTCTTCGTTTCGCATTCGCTAGCATTTAAAAATGGCGGCGAGGTATTTATCTCCCGAGGAAGTGTTTAGAAGAGTCCTGAATGACGATTCTGACGGGGATTATTCTGATGAAAGCGAAGCAGAACTTTCGGAAGAAGATGACAACAATGGCAGATCAGAACACGAGGAAAGTGAAGAAGACGAAAGCGACGAATTGCTTCCTGACGAAGCAAATAGCGAAGAATCTGGTAAGTTTCTTTATCAAATAACGAGTATTAGATTTCATTTCTGTTGTCTACGTGTTTTTACAAGCCTTTGCTAACAGAGAAATCTTAAGTGAAAGATTACCGATTGTGGGTGAGTTTGTTCTGCCCAAAAAGCACATGTTTTAGTAAACTATCATTGTCCAAGTAATAAGGCTGACATGTTTGTTTACATTACAAGTACAGTTCTTTTTATGCTACTTCTGAAGTGGACTGAAAACATGCTCCTGAATATTTCGAGTTCAAAACAAAGCAATTTTCAGTTACATTGGCTCAAGAAAATATTCCATTTTTTTTTCATTTTGTTAGACATTTGTGGTAACCGTGACAGAAGTCCTATTCGACCAGAAAGACAAGCTGGAAGGGGAAGAGGAAGGGGTAGAGGAAGAGGAGCAAGAAGGGGAGCAAGATCCGGTCCAGCAAGACGACGTCAAGACCCCGCTGAGCCAAACATTGACTGGTCTGACCAGTATAGTCCAGTGCAGATCCCTGACTTTGGAGAACCACATCCAGGTCCAACAAGAAGATTTCCGAATGTGAACACTGCTCGCGAACGAGACTTCTTTGATCTGCTATTCACTAATGATATATGGGAAATCTTGGTTCAAGAGACCAATAGGTACTACGATCAGCAGAAGGCAACTGACCCTGGCAAGCATAAAAGACCCTGGGCTCCTGTCACGAGAGATGAAATGGAGGCCTTCATTGGTATTATTATTCTGATGGGAATAGTCAAGTTGCCCCGTTTCGAAATGTATTGGAGCCAGGATAAACTAATCCACCAGGAAAGCATTGCCAACATCATGTCTCAAACAAGATTCCTTCAAATATGGAGATACTTTCATTTAGCTGACAATGCAGTAGCCATCCCTAGGGGTACTGATGGTTTTGACAAAATCTACCGGGTGAGAAATTTCCTTAACATTATACTTATAAATATTCGAGACGAGTATAGACTAGGCATGAATATTGCTATTGACGAGACAATGGTACCCCACAAGGGAAAGTTGGCTTTCAAGCAGTACATAAAAAATAAGCCAACTAAGTGGGGCATGAAGTTGTGGGTCCTGAGCGAGGCAACTACAGGCTATGTTTATAGATTTCAAGTATATCTGGGGAAAGAACATGGCCAGCAACCCGAAAAACACTTAGCTAGAAGAGTGGTACGAGATCTGACAGTAACAGAAACAGGGAAAAATCACCATCTCTATATGGATAATTTTTACACTGACCCACACTTTTTCCTTGAGCTTTTTGACAAGAAGATACTTGCATGTGGAACTGTACGTCAAAACAGGAAACAGTTTCCCAAGGATTTGATTATCACTACTCGAATGCAAAAACAAATGGATCGTGGAGACTATTTGTGGAGAGCTCATATGAGATTAGTAGCAACAGCCTGGAATGACCGAAGGGTTGTTTACCATTTATCTACCATTCATCCTCCAGATCTTGATGGTCAGCCTGCTACTATCAAAAGGAAATCAGCTCGTGGTGGTAATGTTGACATCAATTGTCCTCCAGCTCAGCTTGACTATCAAAAATATATGGGCGGAGTAGATCTTGCAGATCAGCTTATAAAGACATTTAGTGTCATTAGAAAGTCACGAAAAGCCTGGAAGAAGTTGTTTGGCTATGGCCTAGAAGTGTGTCTCCTGGACTCCTTCATTATTATGAAGAAATTGAAGCCCAGCAACACTGAATTTTTAACTTATCGCAAAGAAGTGGCACGACAGCTTATTGCTGGAAGATCATTTCGTGGTAAGGCTGGTCGCCCACCTACTCAGCCACAAGCTGAAGTTGATGCCAGGAGACTGGATGGATCCTACCATGAAATTGCAGTAACTGATGCAAGGAGGGATTGTGTTGTTTGTGCCAAGAGAGCCCAAGTGAGAAATCTCGACAGGAATTATCGATATAAATCTGCCATTGTTTGCACTACCTGTGATGGGAAGGCCTTGTGCCTAAACAAAGACAGAAATTGCTGGGAGAAGTGGCATAGACAAGTTCAATATTGGCAGTAACAGTAACTTCAATTCTGGCAGGAACACTGCACTGAACTGTGCAATTCTGGATAGTTCTTTTGCAAATAATATTCAAAACATTTTTTTGTGAATTGTTCACTGATAGGATTTGTACCGGAAGTACAAAAAATGCAATATCTCAGGCTAGGATAGGAATATTTTAGTTCTGTTTGAAGTGTTTTATTCCCTGATAAATGGTTGTTGAACCCAAGTACATTGTGTGATTTAGGTAACAATACTGTACCACAGGCCCCTTGAAGAAAATATTGTTTTGCCCAGGGTGGAATGTAACCAATATATGCAAATAGCTCATACCCTTTGTGGTATGCCCTATATTTTGTTGTTTTATTGCAAATATGTTACACATTTCCAAAGCTTTACAATGATATATAGTTTATGGGAGGGTAACTTCAATACTTTTTTAGTTATCATTAGAAATAGTGATTGCGGCTGCGCAACTGAAAAATTACCTAAAAAAATCTGCCAGTTAAAGGGTTAAATTAAAACAAAGTTTAACCAAGCTAATTAAAAGGCCAACAAGTCCTCCAGAGCTGTCTTATTTCCACTGTTCAACTTTGAATGGAGACTCTTTAGAAACAAGTATACATACCCCACCTTTTCCTACAGTGGGGGACCAAAAACTTGGACCTGACCAAGATTTTCTGAGTGAGTAAATTACTACAGGGCGAGATGCCAAAGTTGCTGGAACGCAAACAAAATCATATTTACTGGAGCGAGCATCAACAAAGATTTAAATCTTGCTTTGCAGCATCTCCGAAACCACGGACATATATAGTGCAAATTTTGGCAGTGAAAACAGATAGAAAAAACACATTCGGTTGAAATTAGGGCTAAATAAAATCAAGCTAATCACTTACGGTGTTTTTTTCTTTTTCAGAGAACATGAATGTCCTGTGTTAAATTTATTAGCTCTGGGCTCGCTTGTGGAGCCTTCAGGAACCTCAGAAATTGACTTTTTACCAGTCGCTAGAGTCGGTTAAGTCACTTTGTGCAGTGGAATATTTAAGTGAGGTTGTAGTTTCGCAGGTCCTCTTCCAGTGTTGGGCGGTGTGATCTGGACAGAAAAGTTTGGTAGTTTTGGTCATTTCATCAGAGGAGAAAAGATGTTCATCTGAGTCGGCAATCGAGGAGAGAGTTTCAGGATCTTGTGTCAGTGTAGCTTCGTCGTTTGAGGTCTGTGCTGTTGGGTTATCTTGTGAGGCATTGTCTCCTGGTGTACCGTCGTTTTCGGTGTGAGGGTCTTCGTTCATCTGGTGGTCTGTGCTGCGGATATCGTCAGTTTTGGGGCTCGTGTCTTAATTTTCGGGTGCAGTTTCTTCAGTTTTGTCGTGTTGGGAAGTCGTTTCATCGGTTACAGTTGAAGCTGGTTTACAGGACCACGAGAATGGGCATGATTTGGCGCGATGATTGGGTTGTTTACAGATTCTACAAAGAAGCGCATTCGGACACGTGGCTGCTTGGTGGCCTGTTTGCTCGCAGTTGTAGCAGGCGATTTCATGGCAAGCGTTGGCGAAATGGCCTCTTTGATGACAATGACGGCATGTACGGGGTTGTTGGTCGTAGCAGACGTTGATTAAAAGTTTTCCAGACCGGATGAATTTGGGGATTGGATTTTTCAGTTGTACGCGGTAACTTCAGACTCCATCTTGTACGTTTTCGGAACCAGGTTGTTTGAAGTGTTTGCGTCGATGGTGTAACACATCACAATACTTGGAGAGTTGTTGGATAATCGCTGAATCAGGCATTTCATATGGGGTGTCGAAGATTTGAACTACGTTAATGGGCAATCGATGTCTTGCAGGGCGAAAGGTTAGCCTTGAATCTCCAGGGTGTTGAGGCGTAGTAAATTCTCGCGGTGCACAACGCTACGGAAAGTTAGAACTACTTCACCATTGGTCTGCTGCTGTATCCATGAAATACTACAGGATCCACTGGTGCATTACTCAAAGCTTCGATGAAAACAGTCGCAGGAAGGCGAGCAGGTGGGTTTACACATACAGTGCATGGTGGTTCAGGAACATCATTATCGATTGGAACAGGTACAGAAACTTCAAGATCATTAACGGGCTAGGCAGGTCTTGTGGCCTCAGCATAACTCTCTTCAGGATTCGCAACAGAATTTTCACTTCTTACATTATCATCAGAAAAAGAAATGTCGGCCCAAGGGTTTGGAAAGGGACCCAAAATCTTCCCTGCCACTCGCGACGACATCATCACTAAAACACAAGAGGGCAGTGCCCTCAGCTATTATGTGGGCGCGACTATCACTATACAAAACCCGAAAATAAACGAAAAATAAAATTGACCAATAGGAAATGCTAATCTAATTATCACGGTATCTTAGCCAAAAGGCCGAGGAGCGATACCCACCAATACTCTCAGTGAAGGGGGCAGTAGAGGGATCCTTCCCACAGTACCTGGTGGATAGTAGCAGGTGGACCCCAGAAGTCCTTGCAAGTACCACAGACAGACCCAATGGCTAATCAGTTGGTGATCTTCCCAGTGTAACCTTAAGACGCCAGGCACATACACATAATGACCAGAATGGTGGTCTTTAGGATATTTACGAAACCTCATATATCCTAGACCCCCCCAGGGGATATATTGGTGCAAGTGACGTTTCTCAAGGTGTGTGCGGGGTCTAGGTGTTTACGTTAGGGCAGGGTAACGTTTTTTCGCCTAGGCTACCAAATTTAGGGTTAAGGTAATAATTTTGGGGTTAAGGTTATAGATAGGAAACTAGGGCTAGTATAGATAAAAGGTAACCGATAACCAGCCGAATTTCCACTCTTTCCCCTTGTCTTGATCGGTGGGGATGGCAGTGAAGATATCCGTGTAGAAACTACTAAAAGCGCAGCACAGGTCAGCTGGCAAAGAGACGATGGAGCCGTCACTTTCGTGCAGTGCTGTGATTTGGCGGTCTGTTGAGTGCTTCTTCTCCAACTTGAAAAAATAAGAGGACAAGAATTCCTCTTCCGCAACCCACTTCGTCCTAGAAGATATTTGGGCCCCCTGGGCTGCGTCCTCATCCAGATCTGCAAGACTGGAATGTGTTGTCTGGTTCGGGGGGGGGGGGGGGAAGGGGGGGGGGGTCCAAATCCCCCGGGGGTTTCAGGTGGGCAAACAGGTTGGACAAACA